TAATCCACCAACCGCAGCTACAGTATTCTCTTTACAAAACAACCATCCAGTCAAAAGTGCACAAAAATTACATTTTTTAATTGTGAACAAATTAATTATGGTCGGCTTTGGGCCCCTAAACGGTCTGCCCCCCCCCCTCGCAATATGGGGTCTGGCGGCATCGTAGCTCCGCCCCTGGACAAATGGCATCCGATTTGGTGTGACACTGCTGAATCATTTTAGTAAATACTAAATAGTCATATTTGTAACTTGATATTAAAACTACTAATACTACTAATAGGCTTATAATTATTACCGCTTCTATTAAAGAGATCAAATAAAAACTACTGGCATACTTTTAAATAATTGTATCTTAGCTTTTGTTTATTTTAACTAAGTTTAAAAGACTAGATATCCGACGATATTGAGACCCAAATCAATACTTTCTAAAACTAGTCTAGATCTAGAATCTGTCAAGATTATTTAAAAATTAAAATAGCTCTATTACAGTTGTTTTCCGACTTTCCGGATGTTAGTCGAATACTAGATGTTAGGCTACACAAACGTAACGTAGTTTAGTTATTACATTTTTACTTCATAAAAAATAGATCTAACAATCTAACAATCAAAACTGCACCACGTATGCATATCGTGTTGATATGTGTTTTTTTTAGATATCTAGAACTTGGTCTCAATGCCTATTTTAGATCTAGAAGTCCGTGTTGAAACGAAAGGTTAGTTAGGCCCAACTCGGAAATTTATTTTAATCTTTTCGCGTCCTCCTGTATTGTACTGTATTGTAATGTAATTGTAAAGTATAATAAAAAGTAGTCTATAGATTTTGTACACTAAGCTTAGTTCCCCCATATTACTTCCTTTTTTACTTTTGAATGTTTAACTGCAAAAAGGACCTGGTATAGGTCTAGGCATTTAGTATTTAGGCCTATTATTTAGGTCTACTATTTTAACTAAATTTATTTAGTATAATATTTAGGGCCTAGATCTAGGCCTATTTTATTTTAGCCTTAGTTCTTCTTAGGATTCGGGTGTGTACTCAGTAGTGTTACTAGATCTAGACTAGTAGGCTATTTATTAAAGTATTAGTTAGACACTATTAAAGTATTAAAGTATTAGTTAGGGCTTAGGCCCAAGGCCTTTAAATAATTAGAGTCTTAAATAGTAAATCGAATAGGCCCCCTAGGCCTACTTTCTTTTGTTTAGCCATGTTTACAGTTTAGGCCATGTCTTTAATAAGTAGTTTAGAGTTTACTATAGTAAATACAAAAAAAAAAAATTGTAATAGCCCATAATAAGCTTGTATTTGCTTAACTAAGCAAATGAGAATACAACAAGTAATTATTCATATTTGTAACACATGGTTACCAGCCCAGGGGGGATAAGAATAAAGCTGTAATTCGTTGGGTTGCGGCCCCTTTTGATGTGTAGTTTTTTTTTTTTTTGCATGCTCTTCAGTGCGCGATTTTACCTGTGTCCCATGTCATGTGACATGGGATTATGGGTAGTTCGTGTTTAGCCGTGTCAGTCAGACCCAAGGCTGCTGTCTGTGGACACGGAGGGTGACGGTACCTTTAGGTAGATCATGACAATATAGACCTAATGAAGGTAATATTATGTTTTATATTACTGTACTACTCCTACTAGTGCTGCATGTTGCAGACTAGGGGTGGAGTATCTTCGTTAGATTATTTTTCTGTATTATTCCTGCTAGTGCCGAATGTTGCGCACTAGTTAGGTGTTAAGTATTTATTTAAGTAGTTCTTATTGTGCAACTTATTGCTAGTTATTGGAACCGTGTATGTTTGTAGCATACACGTGGAATTATCATTGATGTAATCTTTTGTTTACATTTGTTTTAGGGCTACAGTTTCATATTTAATTATTCATCTTTAATCGTCGTTTAATCGTCGTCTGTTTTCTACTGTTGTTCTGCATCGCCGCTCATGGCTCGATGTAGAACAGCGTCGGTTCAGTGTGTCCTAAATCTCAGGGTCAGTCCTTTTAACCACAACACCTCAGTGGGTAAAAAGCATCCCCACTGAGTAAGTGTTACATAATATTGCATAGAGTATAGAGGGATCCAAACTTCAAATAATGTAGTTACATCTCCTAATCTACCCTGACTGCCAAAGAGATGCCGCAAGAAGCACTCAAAGATCACAACTCTACAGGTGAACGGAAGAAAGCGTAATACAATAACAAAGGTTCAGTTGATGATGAAATCAGTAAACTTCTTGACATGGAAATCAGCTCAATCAAATGTAATACTCGGGATCCCAGCCAGGTTCCAGAGAAGCATCCGTCCCCAGACATATACTCTAGTTTATATGAAAAGGAAAGTCTTGAAGATAACGTATCTCCACTGAAGGCAGTTGATGTTTTTGAGAAAACTAGTAATAAGGAATCAACAACATATGAATCAGATGGCAAGCGGAAGCACTCATGTTCACGGTAAGTTTAACTCAATTATGCTAAAGTTACTCCAGGAATTGTAAGTTGCCTACAAGGGATAGCTAATTAACTTTAAGAATTGATTTATGTTTGTTATTGCAACAAAAACTAAACGAGTCATAATATATTGCATTTTCATTGAGTAAAATTACAAAACAAAAAAATATAGAACTCTCTCCAAATTTTGTTTTCATTTTTAAGCAATACCTAAAGTCAATGCTATTCACTGTCACACTGTTTACTTAGATCAAGATCACCAAAGAAAAGAAAGAAGTCACGATCATATTCCAGGTCACCAAAACACCATGGATCATATGGAAGGTAAGATACATTTTTACAAAGTTCGTGTGTGGATCTAATTTTTTCCCACAATTATAATGTAGAGATTTTGTTCAGATAAATTAATTTCCAGTGACCTAGCAAAATATCTTATTTTCCATCTAGTCTTTAAAAATTACTATTACGGGATAATGTCGTCTGATCATCCAAGCAGCTGAGGTGAGTTGTGTTCACTGATGTTTTCACTACTGATTGCCAACTGTGGACATTAATGAAGGGAAGGTAATTGTTGTTTCACTTATGATCACAGGTTGCTGTTTGGGTTTTATAGCAACTGTTTTTAGCCAAGAAGAAACAGAATGGAAAGAATAAATATACTACACATTTTTTATAAAACTTAAAACTAATTACTATTTTAATTTTTTAAGTGCCTAATCATTAAAACAGTTGAGAAAAAAAGATAAATAACTTTGAAAATAGCTTTTAAATGCACTAAAAATGATAGAACTAGATCAGTGAATACTTTATTTTTAAATCAAATCAGTTTTTTATTATATTTTAGTGCATTTAAAAGTCTGTCACTATAAAGGTTTGTATATCTATCTATGTATATAATTCTCTTCTGGCAGCCGTTAGAAAACAAGCTGCAAGCACCTCCTTGCAGTCCCCTCTCTTTCTCTCTATCACTATCACTACCACCCCCACCCCACCCCCATATTGTCTGGTGAGCTGTGGTTCACGCTGTTTACATTTTACAATCATAGAGACGGGTTTGGTGACGGCTATTAGGGGCAGATAATTTAGTTTGAAACGATTTTAAACTTAGAGGAGGTAACTAAGAGGAGGCTGCTTTCACGTGGGGGGGGGGAGGGGGGGTTTAGTGTTTTTAAGCAAATATTTTTAGTGGTAGCATTGGTACTGTCGAACTCACAAATTATAAATTACTGAAAAGTAGAAAAAAAAACCAACTAAATAGCGGCGTATGATACGCAGCGGGTCGGCTCGTTTCTTTTATTTTCCTAATACACAAGTTTTACACATGATAGATATTTTCAGCATTTTTATGGTTTCTTTTGTTATAAATTTAAAGAAAACATTTTGGTGAATGGGACGCCAGGCATTATGCTGATAGAAAATCTCCCGTAAGAGATAGATCATGGTCTCCCAACAAAAGAAGATCCAGGAGCCGTGAGAGAGAGAGAGACGTCATGAAAGGAATGAAAGAGATTTACGGTTACAAATTGATAAAGGTAAGTTGCGGAAAATTGCCATGTATGTAATTTTTTTTTTAAATATATTTTCATTTATCCTTCAATATCCTTTTTATAAGTAAAGCCATTTCTATTTTGTTGCTAAGATTGTTGTTTTGACCGAATATGTATATTTTAAAACAACTTAATTGCAAATAATTCGATACTTCTATAATTGATTGCAAGGTAATTCATTATCAAACATTGCTTTCTCTGCCTGTTTAGATTACAGGACTGGATTTAGGGTTGACACCAAGCTTAACATAATCAACAAACATGAATTTTTACATGACTCTTCCAGTAATCATAGAAATAACAGTAGTTCCAGAATGTCCATAGTTTCTACTTGCTTCAATTTTTAGCAGATTTAGTCTTACAGTGAATAGTGGACATTCTTCACGTGTCTTTCAACAGGAACGCTCTCTCAACCCTGCTTCCTCCCACAGTTCTCTGTCAGATTTAGCCACGCAGTGACCGTTGACAGATCTGATGGCCAGACTTTCTGGGCCAATGGTATTCCCTTTTCAAATGTTTACACTGCAGCAAAGCACGAGTATTAATTACGTTTGTATATTACCGTAGTCGGTCTCTGATGTTACTTTGAGGTTCAATGTTTAAAAAAAACATTGAAGGAACTGGTTTGTTTTGTCCAGCTACCCTACGGTTGTGATAAACGGTGGTTATAAGGGCTCGTGATAGTTTGTGGTTAGTTGTAGGCGTTTGTATTTGGCCAAGTGTAAATGTAAAGGCAGATAAGATTTTAGTTAAATTGTTAATTAAGGCGTGATTAGGTTTGATTTGCGAATTTGATATGCTTGTTACATTACCAAGCATCGACAATGCTACTGTGTAGTTCGTTGTGAAACGATCACAGCCATATTCACAAATAAACGCTTTAGTAAAGATGGTGTGTTTTATCAACGTCCCGGGCAGCACTGGGTATATTCAGCTAGTTATTAGAATCAGCTTTAACTTACAAAATTACACAAAGCTTAACAGCAACAAAAATAGAGCATACAACAATTTTACGATAATTAAATGATTTATTTATCCAGCATTAATTAATTTGACCACATCTGGATCGTTAAATCAACCACTTCAAGGAGTGTCGTGAAATTTAACAAAGATGGCGAACATGTCGGCATTGGCCACGTCACCAGTGTTCCAGTTCTCGGGGCCGTCAGGTCGTGAGTACTTGAAGACCGGTAGCTTGTCCGCTTTCTCCCACTTGCATGCGCCGGTCTCTACCTTGTCCACAACCACGAACCATCCCCTGTCTTCCGGACATCCACTGAAACTGTAGACGCGGTTGATGAAGAAACGCCTGGATAGTTGATTGTCGCCTAAAATCCTGAAAAAATTAGTTGCGTCAGTCTTGATCCTGGTCCAGGTAGAGAACTTGACCTTGGACTTGTCGAACCAGTTCATGTAGGTTGTACTTGTGCTGTCAAAAATAATCTCCTTGACCTTCTGGTAGTTGGAGTACACGACGAAGGCGACTTCCTCAACTATTCCCCAATTATCGAAGACTTCTGAGTTTCTGTAGTGGTTGTTGCAGGGTAGGGGGTCGATCACCTAAGCATGAAACAACGTTTCAATAAATCTTCAGTCATAAGTGGTCTTTAAGAAAATTAAAATATGGAAAAAAAAAATTTCTTTATGATTTTTTAACACATTTTTTTTGTCAGAAAAATGTAATTTGAAAAATGTCGTAACACTCTAGGGAAATCGAGCTTCGGGCTTTATTGACGATAAGTGACGCGATGAGCGAGGGACTAGGAAAGTAAAACGTAACACTAATAAATTTAAGAAGGGTTTTTTTTTGTAGAATGAATTTGGGCAATTTTTTATACACTTAAAAAGCTTTTTTGTATATTTTTTGTTTTTAAAATTAATCAGGAATCGAAGATTAGACCATATTTTCTAAAATTTAATATAAGCCATTTTCATGCGAAAGGAAACCATTTTTTTGTTTAAGGCGCTATATTTTGACTATACCCACTTTGTAACAAATATGTGAGGGATAGGGGGTGGCCAAAGTATGAAGTCCTTTTAGGATGTGTCTGACTTTTTGTGCGTTGCGTTTCAAGGACAAGAGAGCGTCGTTAATTTGGTTAAAATCTACACAAAACACGTTCAGTCGACAGTCGATATTAAAATATAGCAAAATTAAAACCAAATTATATACTTATTAGTTAAAAGAACGCCATATTAAATGCACACACTGATTAAGAGACTTAAATTATTCCGTTAAAAACCCGGCAATTCGAGTGTTGCAGACCGGACTACGATGTTGCCGTCCGGTTGCCTAGTCGCCGGCCGAATACGTTGCTGACACTGGCTCGGGCGCTAGCCAATAAGGCCGTCGTTGTCTAGGGGTATTTAATTATTCTACCCGAGTCAGCTACAGTAAAATTACTGCTGTTTATTAATTCGCTGAATGCCTGTTCTGCTGAGCGAGGCTTCCCCTAACCGCTAACGTCGGGAGCGCTTGTGCGAGAGAGAGAGAGAGAGAGAGAGAGAGAGAGAGAGAGAGAGAGAGAGAGAGAGAGAGAGAGAGCCTAACTAACATTCCTGTATTTATACCCCTGTCTTAACCCCCCTAGCTATTCCCATGGGACAATGGGCTCAAAACTTGTGACCTATCAAATTATCCCCCCTGGCGCTAACAACCCTAGCTACTGGTCAGTATAAAGACTACTATTGTCCTCTCAGAGCGGTCAGTCTCTTTGAATGTGTCAGCTACTGTCCATCCCTACGGTGTACCCTGTAATTATCTAGTGAATGGATGTTTGTGGAATTCTGACCTATCATCAAGGTTCATTATGTTGTTATTTTTATTTTGTATTAGTTTGACCGAGAAAAGAGTAAACATTTCATAGCGTACGTCTTGATGCGTAGATTTATAGAATTAAGATCTAAATCAAATTTCAATTTATATTCTAAAATCGAAGATAACGCCAATAGTGATGTATTCTTTCCAAACTTTAAACATGTGGCATGTGACGTCATTGTTTATTGCGTACTTGTCACAACTTAAAACACTCTTCCGATTGCATAATTAAAAATGTAATTCTACATTCGAATATGCCTTCATTTTTTTTATTTTTCTTCTTTAACTAAAATTTAGTTTATACATTTAAAACATCCAGCATTTTATTTTCAACAAAAGTTTGCATCATGTTCTTGATATATTGCTGAAGATACTGATATTATAGCCACCGAAAATATTTTGCGGACAGAGAGAGAAAGAAAGAGAAGTTCGCCCATGGTCTTTTATATATATATCACATGGTGCGCAATTATTTTTTTTCTACGAGATTCTATTTTATTTTTAAAAGTCTCAATAATTAATAAACCGGGAGTTATCTCCACTAAATTTTCTGAAATATTTTTATATAACACTACGGGAGATGGCAACTCAGGATTCACTACTTCCTCTATAATTCGTATATGAAAAAGTAAAAATGGATTAAAAATAATGTTTATATCCCGAGGTGCCATCCCCCGTCGTGAAATATAAGCAGCGCCGGCGACAAGTTATTTAGCGCCCTAGCCAAAACTTATAAAAAGCGCCCCCCTCCCCCGTACAATATTTTTCGCGCCCCCGTATTATCAGAGGCGTAGCGACCCTTCCCGGCGTCCGGGGACAAACTTTCAATTTGCACCTCCCGCCCTCAAACTTTAGATTTGCACCCCCCCCCTCAAACTTTCAATTGGTTTTTCCAACTCATTTTGGCGCCTCCCCCCCCCCCCCCCCTACGGACAGCGCCATAGGCGACCACCTAGTTCGCCTTATAGGTAGTGCCGGCCCTGAATATCAGAGTATTCGATTAAGTTTAGGGGAGATCACTGCCGGTTTATTTTTTAGTGTTAGAAAATATTTTTAATATATAATTTGAGTTAGGCCCTTTCAGTTTTATGAAGTAAAAAATTACAATTATGTCATATAAAGGAAAACAAACATTATAGTATTACTTTGAAAGTAAAATAATTAACATGTATCAATAATCAAGATGTAAAATAATTTAAAGAGGAATTTCGACCACAAAGCACACATTTTGCAACTACCAGTCACGTGTGATTTGCATTGACCAAATCCTTGATGGTTATTTGAAATAAAGATATTTTTGCAATACTAAAGATTTCAGCTTTTCTTCAGCATCGCCGTGAAGAGCAATGTAGTAGAAAAGCTCTAGTCCGTAATATTTAGCCTAAGCAAGCTAACATTATCTGATCAACGCACCTGTTTACATCCGGGTTCCACCTCACTTGGGATCCCAGTACCGTCCGTATAGGCGTCATAAACAGATTTTCCTATGTAAGCTGTGCCACGAAACGCCAGTGTCCACCCGGTCATTGGCCTCTGCTTGGCCTGAAAAGGCATGAAACACTCGCATAGTTTTTCAGATGTGTATATGTAAAAAGAAAAAAATTGAAATTGTCTTACGCTTCCAAGCAAACCTTATTTCAATATACTAATTCGCGTGAACCATCAAATTCTCTTGGAATCAGAATGCGATTGAAAGTGTAACTGATAGGATTTACCTCCAATTTTTGGAACTTTTGACTCATCTGGTTTATGACTTTATTTTGTTTTAGCAATAACTGTTTGAAGTCAAGGCAAGCTGTCTCCTCATAGTCTTCCCCAGCTGCTAAAACACAAATTGCATACGTTTGTTCGTAAGATTGTGTATACTAATAACAAATAAATAAATAAATAAAACTTTATAATAACGTGCTTTTAAATGCTCTGTTCGCGTGTGAGAACATGTATATTTTAGAGACCAAAGATTATATAAATAAAGTTTGCTTTATTGCCTTATATTTCCAGTGCATTTAAAAGCTTGCTCTAATAAAGGTTTTTCATTTTTTTTAAATTTTCAAATTTTTAGTCATCGTTTGAAATGAAGTTCCCACTACAACGACAACAAAACATCAACAATCAACTCAATAGACTTGAGCTGTGTTTAGTTAACAATAAAACATCAACAATCAGCCAAAGACACTAGAGATATGTTAGTGTTTAGTTGACAACAAAACATCAACAATCAACTCAAGACACTAGAGCTGTGTTTGTATTTACCTTGACAGAGAAGAATGTCCGTGACTACCACGGCTAGGAACGTCAACAACTTCATGGCGAGCGTCTTTTTCATATTCTTATGATTTTAATACTATTTTTGTATTCTGGTTTACTGCTGTCGAGTTTTAAGTCTAAAACTTCTTGCTTTTATATTTTCTTTTTTGTCGTCTCAAAGTGCACGTTATTAACATTTACTTCAAACTAGTGGGATTTTTAAATTTCGATTAAGATCGTTAATTGCAATATGGACTTCTCACAAAAGAACTCCATCAGTGGATTAGGCAAATGTGCCCGCCCGGGTAAATTATTTTCTTTTTGCCAAGTCTATTTTAGTGAATAAATAAACTCCCGGTTTATTTTCGTATATTTTATACAACTATTTTGTGTTTTTCAGTAGAACAGTTTTGTTAATCGAGGCGTAAAAAATATTGTTAACGCTTGCTACTGTAAGTAAAAGTATTTTGTAATCTAATTCGTCTATTTACATACAGGTCAATTTTCGGAGGTTTTAAGTAAACAAGATCAAAGCAGATTAAAACTGGTTGCAGCTTGTTAGCCCTTGGTTTATTAGGTTCAAACACAGGTGTTGTCCTGATTCGAACACGATACACCTCATTGGAATAGTAAATAAGCAAGTGTTTCAATCACATCTTGGATATAGTATGTTGTTTTTTAAAATAAAGTTTCATAAAAACTGTATTGCATAAATTTTACAGAAATTAAAAAAATATTCAATTAAGCTAATTATTTTTTGGTAATTCTAATGTTAGAGTTTGAGGGATTTCATAGCATAGGTTAAACATAATAAACATGTTACATTTCTCTTTCCACGTTAAAATTGTTATTTAAATTTAGGTTAGGTTAGCATGTACCCCTCCTGGGTTAGAAGCCGCTGACAAGAACTTTCCAGGCATCTCTGTCCTGGGCAAGTCTCTCCAACTGTCCCCAGGTGAATCCAATTTTCTTGGTCTTCCATGTCACGTCTCAATGTCTTTCTTGGTCTGCCTCTTTTCCTTTCACTCTTTGGATTCAACTTGAGGGCCTGTCTTGTTATGCTGAACACGGACTTCCTGTGTGTGTTGCCAATCCATTTCCATCTTCTCTGGAGGATCTCTACTTCAAATAGCAGTTGATTTGTCCGTTGCCATAGTACCTCATTTCTGGTGGTTTTAGGCCTGCGAATTTAAAGGCTCTTTCTGAGGTATGTGTTTATAACTAATTGTATTTTCTTCTTATTTGTGGAATTTATCCTTAATGTCTCAGCTCCAAAAGTAAAACAGGTTTTACTAGTGTGTTGAAGAACCAGATTTTTATTTCAAGGGTTAAAACTTAAATCTCCAGTACCACAGTTGGTTGAAGAATGCTTTTGCCTTGTCCGTTCATATTTTTTTTGTCTGCCTCAATACTTCCAGGTAGGCGAATCTATCCAATTCTTCTAGGGCTTCGTCTGTCAGTCATCCAGCTGGTTCCATGTTGTCAACCTTATACCGTTTTTACTTTTCCTCAGATAATATTTTCATAATTCATTCAATGGTCAGCAGGAACAGGAATAGTGAAATCTGCCATAAGGGTTATCCATTTATGACGTACACAAAAAGTTTGAATTTTAGACCCCCCCCCCCCCAAACCCCCGTCTACACGCGTCCACTTACGAGCCCACCCCGGTCGTGGACGTCCGCGAAATGAAATTTTATACATAAGTATTTTATCAAATTTGTAGATACGTATCAACTTTTCGGCGATTTCCGATAACCGGAAGTGGAACTTTTTTACTTTCAATTTTTCAAAAGCCTATAACTTGAGTACTATTTTAGATAGATAAATGAAATTTCACATGTAAGTTAAAGGTTTTATTCTCTGCCTTCTGTCAAATTTTTTGTAATTGCCGACGACTAAAGTGGTAATTTTCACTATTTCAGATTTCTCAGAAAAAAAAAACGCATGTGAATTTATGAAGTAGGCTACTAATAATATTCCGCACTATTATACACATTTTGTTTGGCATTCTTTTTCTGCGACATTCTATTCTATTTTTAAAAGTCTAGGTAGTTAAAAATGGATTAACAATAATGTTTATATCCCGAGTTGCCATCCCCCGTAGTGTTATATAAAATATTCGAGAAAGTTTAGGGGAGATCACTCCAGGTATATTTAGCCTTTTAATTATTTTCTAGCCTTTTAATTAAGCCGGAACTTCTTCAAATGTTGACGTAAATAGGTTTTAGTTTTTTCCCATTTCCCCTCAACGGACTCTTCCTCTATTTGCTCTTGTATGACCTTAAACTTGTTGGAAATATGGAGCTTAAATTCAGTTGGTTTAGAGGGTCCCTTAAGTAGGCCAGTGTTATACATGTGTTCCTTTTCGTTTTTCACCGTGTTTTTCTTCAACTTGCGTTTTACTTTAGCAACAAGTAGGCGATGGTCCGAAGCAACATCAGCTCCTCTCTTGACACGTTCATCTTGAAGTAATCTCATGAGCTTTTTATGATACATGCATGTTCCACCAGATATTTCTGTAGACAAGTTGGGTGATACCCAAGTAGTATTTTGTATCATTTTGTGATGAAAGAGACTCCTTCCAATTACTACGTTACTTGTGGCACACAAGTCAGCAAATCTTTCTCCATCTCACCTAAGACCTGCTGTCCCATAATGTCTTCATATACTTTCTCTTCCAATCTTGGCATAAAAGTCATCCATAAGTATAAGGATGACTCTTCTTGCACGATGCTCGATAATGGTCTTTGGCATATTGTAGAACACATTTTAGTCCTCTTCTTTGCTGTCATTTGTTTGAGCGTATGCCTGTATTATGACTATGTTCATTCTTCTTATTTTAGTTTTAAAGGGGGCTGTTATTATCCACGGACAGTGTGCCTCCCATCCAACGAGACCCCTTTGTGCTTGGTTTGACAGCATGAATGCGACTCCTTGAGTATGTGTCACATTTTTATTCTCGTCGCCTGAGAACAGCAGTAGCTCTCCTGTTATTAGTTGGTTTTCTTAGCTGTCTGTATTTTTCTCTGACTTCGTTTATAAAGCGATTTCTTTTTTTTACGATATGTTGCTGACTTTTTGCTCAAGCCCCAACCTGTAAGACCAGGGTGCGAGCTTTTGTCCGACCTCTACCCGCGCAGACCTTCCAAGTCTGGTTGAACCTACCACAAGTTTACACTTCCGCTGGTATAGCTCCAGCTCTCCAGAGTTTAAGTGTGTTGTATGGGCCACCAACTCCAGCTCTCCAGAGTTTTCTGGGGCTGTATGTGCCACTACCCACAGCTATCTATAATTTGTTCTCTGCCTTACTGGAGAGTTTACCTACTACATTAATATTTTTTTTTTTTACTTTCTCGTATACGTAGTATAGAGAAAATATTGTAATCGTTAAAAAAAACGGGAGTGATCTCCCCTAAACTTTCTCGAATATTCTTGTATAAAACAACAGCGGATGGCAACTCGGTTTTTAATCCATTTCAAATACTTAATTTTTTTCGTAGAAAAAAAGAATTGCACACCAAGTGAACGCCACACAAATGTGCATAATATTGCGGAATATTATTAGTACTTTATAAATTCACATGCGTTTTTTTGAGACATCAAAAATAGTTTAAATTACTACTTCCGGTCAACAGAAATTTCTAACATTTTGAAAGAAGGGAGAGAATTAAATTTTTTACTTACAGGGAGCTGAAAAACGTCGAGATATGCAAAAATCTCGATTTTTTTTCTTTGCACCACTACAAGATTTTCTCTATACTTCGTATGTTTGTTTGAGTTGTGTTGTGTTGTGTTTATGTTCTGTTCTGTTTGTGTTGTGTTTGTGTTGTGTTTGTGTTGTGTTTGTGTTGTGTTTGTGTTGTGTTTGTTTTTGTATTGTGGTTGTGGTTTGGTTGTGGTTGTGTTTGTGTTGTGTTGTGTTTGTGTTGTGTTTGTGTTGCGCTTGTGTTGTGTTGTGTTTGTGTTGTGTTTGTGTTGTCTTTGTATTGTGTTTGTTTTGTGTTTGTGTTGTGTTTGTTTTGTGTTTAGTTTTATTCTGTTTCCAAGTTGGTACATTTTTTAAAAATTCACCGTGGCGGAGCACGGATGTGCAGCTGATATACATAAGTATGTTTTGTGCATTTTTTTGCTGAGGCCAAATTAGCATGTAATGAAGGTTGAGCCCAACACAACGTAATTAATTTGATACGTCATCTGCTAATAGAAAGAATATAATTGAAGTTTGTAGCATCTGTTACTTATGTAGTCGTTAAAAAAGTTAACAGATTCTTTGAAGGTTGAGGAAACAGATGGTCAGACTTAACAAACAGTTGTATATTTGCGTGCAGCTTCTCATGATGTATAGGGCTACAGCAATACTCTAATTGTTTTTTGTCGGTTAATTCAGCATTCCGATGGGTTACTTCCCTTTTTCCACTTTAACTTTTCCAATGGATTACTTCAACGTTTCCGATGGGTTACTTCAACTTTTCCTATGGGTTTTTTCAACTTTATAAATTTCAACTTTTCGGATAGGTCACTTCAACTTTTCCGGTGGGTTACTTCAACTTTTCCGATGGGTTATTTCAACTTTTTCGATGGGTTTTTTAAATTTTCCGATTGGTTTATTCAATTTTCCGCTTGATTACTTCAACCTTTTCCGATAGGTTACGTTCTAAATCACTATAAAATAGATATAGATGTATATAATATATATATATATATATATATATATATATATATATATATATATATATATATATATATATATATAGAGAGAGAGAGAGAGAGAGAGAGAGAGAGAGAGAGAGAGAGAGAGAGAGAGAGAGAGAGAGAGAGACACCATCTATCGTTTAACAAACCCCACCCTAGTAGGTGAATAAATTGATGATACCTTGGTAAATTAACCCCCCCCCCCCCCCCGTAACAGATTAATTGAAAAATACCTTGGTAACCGAACCCCACCTTTACCGGTAACATTTATGACAAGTATTTTCAAGAGAGCTATTGACATGGGTTTAGGTGGGTTGACAGGGGATAATTAAAAGTCGGTAATTGACTCGTCCAGAATACAGTTTTGTTGTCTAGACTCATCTTTTTTTATCTCGACCTCCTCGGAATTCATTCACGATATCCTGTGTTCTAAGACATACGTATGTG